TCTACTTCCGCACCGGTTCACCCAACAACTACCTCCGTTACTCCTCCAGTATACGCATCTAGCAGCTCTACTTCCGCACCGGTTCACCCAACAACAACCTCCGTTGCTCCACCAGTTTATCACACAACGAGCAGCTCCGTTACTCCTCCAGTATACGCATCTAGCAGCTCTACTTCTGCACCGGTTTACCCAACAACGAGCAGCTCCGTTACTCCTCCAGTATACGCATCCAGCAGCTCTACTTCCGCGCCGGTTCACCCAACGACAACCTCTGTCGCACCACCAGTCTATCACACTACAAGCAGCTCTGTCGCTGCACCGATCTACTCATCTAGCAGCGCAGTTGCTCCTCCAGCCTATGCTACGACGACCTCCGCTCCAGCACCTCCCGCTTATAGCGCACCAGCACCCACGTACTAGGTATCGTGTTAGCCACGCGGGAAGGAGGACAGGATTGAAGCTAGAAAGGCAATATGTGGAACAGACAGGACATGTTCAGATACAACGAATTTCATAATAATGAACTAGGAAAATAACGGGAGTTGGAAATTGGGAATCACGGCATTGATTTTGAACATAGTACCACAGCACACTCCTTTAGTTTGTGCATTGTACATAGATCTGGATAGCTTGCGGCATTGAAATTTAAAAACGATCAACGAATATGGCCTCCCTTCGCTGCCCTCCTGTGATCCTTTCCTAAACTCGATCTTTCTTATCCTAGTGTGGACAGGGCTTCCCGGCTAAGTTTGCTGTCGCATCAAGACGGTGCGACTATGTATACTCAAAGTTGCTCTTGATCACAAGCTCTGAGAACCCTTGAAAGTGTCTTTCTTCGTTGGGGCATCTCACTCAATCTAGCGATGGCGAACGATAGGTTCGTTGAGACAATCCAATTATGAGCATTAGCATCATGATCAACAGACATCATACACGGCAAGTGATCAATTAAATACTGTCGAAGGTGACTTTTAAGTATTCCTCGTGTACGTCATTGATACTCGTTTACACTTGCCGTTTGCTTTTGTTCACTTGCTTCCTTCACTCATGCCCTACCCGATGGAAAACCCTCCGCGGGTCAACCACTTCTGGTCACCAGCATGATTGTGCCGTTCATTCGACCATCAAGGTACCATATCAGCACTCTCCAGGCTTGATCTTGTTTCGGACTGTTTGCTTGGAAGGGAGGCAGTAGTGTTTTGCCTCACCTCAAATTCCCACAAGCTTACTTCGTCGTTTCCAGTTTGGGATTGAAAGAAAGGCAACAACGAGCGTCTCACTTGTACGAACATGTATCAAATATTCCCACAAACAGGCCAATTCAACCAGATTGTAGTATTAGCCTACCCACAACATCTGGAGACATTTGAGCACAGGGCGATGCTATATCGCTACCCCAACCCTAACCCTGTACCGAATGTGAAGACGACCACTTGAGTCCTAACAATCCAAATAAGATAGAAAGGGGCAGCAAACAGTCCCAGATGAAGGTATAGGTATGCATGAATCTAATATGATCAGAGCTGTCGATACAAGGAATCATCAACGAGAGCAGCGCACTGAACTGCTCTCTCGATTGATTAACAGCCACTTTTGCTAGTAGCAGGGATTCTAACAGGCTTTAAATTATCAAGCCTGTAGAGAGCGAGGAGGCCTCAGGATATTATGGCTATAACTAAGGATGCCTTGTCCTGATGAATAGTCCTCATATCGACAGCTCTGAATATGATGAGCCAATTCTTCGATGCTCCTCGAAGTCCAATTCACCCCTGATCATATCTCCCGACCGTAGGAACATCGTTGAAAAACAACACAGCCGCCCAGTTAGTATAGATGGATAGCATCCAACACATCTCCCTTTTCCCTAGCATGAATCACGTCCGTTAATTAAATATCCTCGTCAATGCACCTGCTTGCATCAATATCGATACTGTCTTATTGGAACCGTGTTTTGACCACTTCACCAGACTTTGGATGAACCACCATGGGAGCGTTGCCAAGATGTGCAGAATTGTTGGAACTACCTTGCTTCTTGAAGTTTGGGAACAAACGGCGGCGCCCAGATCTACGTTGCGACGTTGGAAGGAACTCCTCCGAGCGCTTTCGAGTGCCATGGTCGATGGGCTCGTCTGTTCGGTGCAAGCCGCTGGAGGTATTCTCACATGTGTAGGACATTGCGATGTTTGCGATATGAGTAAATGGCACGACTGTTTTGTAATGCTTCAAACAACGAGAAACATGGACTGAGACGGAAACTTTTTCACAAGGGGTAGAAGAGAAAGGAGGACTGAGCTCCAATTGAAAACTGTGTTCAAAAGATGTACTTCGGATTTGTGTGTGATGACGATTAGAAATTACGAAATAGTAGGCCAAATATCTACTGCGATCGTCGGCCCAACATCATTTCATCTACCACCACAATCGCTTAGTCGTAGGTAGGAGCTGGAGTCTCGTAGACGGGAGCCATGGTGGCGGACTCCTCCTCAGTGCAGGTGGTGGAAGAAGCTGTGGGATGGATAATGTTAGTAACGAACGAAATCATGATGTGGGTGAGAGTAGGGGGAGAAAAAAACGAACCCTGGTGCGCATCGGCCTCGGAAGAGGATGATGCGTAGACAGGTGCCTCGGTGGTCTCTGGCTTGTGCTCCTCCATCATGGTGGAAGTGGCGTAGACGGGTGCCTGAGTATGCTCTGGCTTCTTCTCCTGCAAGAAGAAAATGGCAAGTCAGCAAATGTCACGAAAGCTAAGAAAATATATGTGATTGTCGATGACTTACAACAACGGTGGTGTAGACGACTGGGTGCTCGACCTTCATGGTCTCAGTGGGGTGAGACTCGTATGAAGTGTAGACCTTTGTGTGGTAGACGGTGGTGAGGGAGACTTTGGGAGCCTCTGGTGCCTTGGGAGCCGCCTGACGAAAAAATATATAGGTAAGCAGCGTTCTCATTATTCTTGTTCTACATGAATGCTATATCTATCTTTTCGATACATGCTATTCATTTTCCATTCTTCATCATTATTTAACGTACTGGGTGGTAGGCTGGGGGAGCAGCTGGGGACTGGATCTGTCCGTCACCGATCTGCTGGACTGGGTTCTCTGTAGGAATGTTAGAAGATGTGTTGGGGTTTGAGGGATTTTGAGTTTCACGTACGGATCTGACCGTCACCGATCTGCTGGATGGGGTGGGCAGCAGGGGCAGCGGGCATGGCAGCAGGAGCGGCAGGCTTGGCGGCAGGGGCAGCAGGGGCAGGAGCGTAACCAGCTGGCTTGCCGTCGACGCACTTCTTTGGGTCGGGGATGACACCGGACTGAGCGTCAGCAATCTCAATGATCGCTGGGCCAGCGACGATGGTGTCGTCGGATGGGGTTCCCATGACCTTCTCCTTGGTGAGGACAACGTAAGCCTGGCCAGATGGAGCACCCTCTGGGATGGTGATGGTGTACTCCATGCCGGATCCCTCAAGAGGAGCCTCGACTGAGCCGGTGATGGTGATGAAGTAAGCAGCCTTAGCCTCAACCTCCTTCTTGACGGAGAGGGTGATCTTGTCGCCGGCCTTGCCAGCGCCAGGGGCGGCAGCAATGGCTGGGAACCCGTTGACTGGGAGAGGACCGTTCTCTGGTGCAATGGCAGTGATGAACGGAGCCGCCAGGGTGACAACCTCGTTGAAGTCAAGAGGAGTGTCGAATGGGTATGGGAAAGGCGACAGCTGAGGCTGCTGGTTACCGCGCAGGTAAGAAGAGTGACGAGCCTCAACGGTCAAGATGGAGCCGGCAGCGGTCAGGTAGGTGGCATCAGCAATGTACTGAGCAGSACCGAGGTAGGCGCTGACACCGACACCCTCAAGGACGTTGGCGATGGTGAGGAAAGTCTTGATGTCCTCGAAGCCGAAAGCGTAGGTGTTGGGCACAACGGGCTTAACACCGGCCTTGGTGAGGGCACCAGACAGGAACTCAACGTGAGTGGTCTCATCGCCGGAGATGGTCTTCAGGTTGGTGTAGAAGACGTTGTCGTATCCAGCAGCGGCGAAGTCAGCCTGGGAGAACTTGGCGAGACCCTCCTTGTAGAAGGCGTTCTCGAGGTGCTCGAGGGTGAGGGCGTAGTTGAGGATGACTCCATCGCCTGGACCACCCTTTGCGGCCTGGCGCTCGACGACTGGGGCCGCAATGGCAGCAGCCGCGAAAGCGGAAGAGATGATGGCAGAACGCATTTTTGATTGTTGTCTCGGGTGATGTGGAAGCGAGTGAATGGAGAACAAGAAGATGGAGAAGCTGATGGAGAGAGAAGTATTATAGCAGTGCGCTGTCGTGGACTATATACACCTTTCGTCACTACATCTGCTCATTTCCACGGTCGCCCGCTAATCTCTTCACGCGGCTCCCTCGTCGTGCTCACCTCATCTCACTTCTTTAGGTCGCCAGTCCGCATTGAGCGATGGCCTAGAACACAATGTCAGGATCGTTGGTTTTGCCTTCGGAAAGGCGCCCCTCCGAACCCAACGGCTGGAAGTCAATCCGTTCGCCAAGCATTCGTTTCTCCGCATCGTGCTTGTATCATCGCCCAAAGAGGTAAAACGGCTCAATGTCCATCGGAGCAGACCAATCACGTCGATCTTATGAGCAGGCACCCCTGGTTGCCCCGATCTTTAGTGAAAAGTGAAAGTGATATGCTTAAAATCTCACCCACGCCGCAACTTCGCTGTGCACGCTGCCGCCCCTTTCGTAACATTTTCCCGTTGGTGGGACGAGACTGTAATTTCCTCCGTGACCCACTTTAGCTGCAAGATTCTGTAAGCATTAACGTTAGGTCGGAGCCCTGCAGTGGCGAACGTGGAGAACGTCGCGCACGAGACCATGGGAACTGTCGATGCCGGCGCATATTTGTGGGGACATGGCCGCGGATCTGGGATGACGACGACGTATTGAACAGCTCCGGCATCCTGCTCGCATGCCGCAGTCATCATGGACATCGGTCCGCTGTGGTATCCCGTCAGGAGCAGGTCCAATCGCTTCGACATTGTCACCGGTCAGCCGCGGGGTGAATCCGTTAATCTCCTCCTTGCGGTTATACTTTTGACGCTGCAAACGCCGCAACGCTAACACTCCAACGTCGAACGATCTCTGCCTTCATCTCCCGCGACATGGCAAAAACGACGGCGGCTGAAGCGATGATGACAGATGACCTACGCTATGTTTCATGCAAACGTATTCGATTTTCGACCCAACGTTGAACTTCGTGTGAATTCGCATGATACTCTCCTGCTTGCGCTGTGCCAGCGGAGGGATTCGAGTCGTCATGCGTCTGCGTCAGAGTCAGTGATGATGCCATGGCGCTAGCGCGACTCGAATGCGGCGAGAAAGTCAGTCGCAAACATGCCGGGACCAAGTCTCGCCGGACGAGGCTCCGCGAAACAATTCCAATTATGTCGTCCGTTCATCTCACAGTGCTATACAACGTGGCTCCGGTGCCGACGGTAAGTGGCCTCGGTGGCCACTCTGTTGATCGTGCGATTCACGGCCAAGCAAATTTGGAGAGGATCTTATCTGATTGTCGCTGCCGTTGCGGAGGATCTCTCGTGTTTGCCTTTGGGTTTCAAGCCAAAACTGCAGTCTCTTTGTAATTAGCTCATGTGAAATTGCGACCAACAATACCAAAACGGAGGAGTTCTCGCTGATGAGGGGCGGTTGCTTGTGGCAGAGTGCGGGCAACGGAAGGATCCCCTATATACCAATCGCCTTCCCTCTCCTCGTGTGATCGTCTATTGTGGAGGGAGAAGCCGACTGGGGCGGCAAGAGCGCAGGCGTAAAGCCCGAGACGGCATCCTCTCGACTGTGCTCCACAAGAGCGACCATACGTATCTGGGCGATGGGCAAGGTAAGACATTGTCTGTCGCGAAAAGCCCGCCAAGAGCAATAATTTATCGATATGTTTCGCAAATTTGTGCGGTCGACATTACGGTTCGGGTCAGCTGCGACCGAGTGACGCCGGGGACTGTGTGCTCGATTGGAAGGAGCTTCAAACTATGGCGCAGCTTCGACAGCTGACGTTGCGTGGAGAATAGCTCAAAGCGTGGAGCAAGAAGCATTGTGCAACCGGCCGTGGAAATCGGCATTGCAAAGCACGCCGAAGATCAAAGGCGCTCAGTCGAAGAGAGACTCACAGCTCTCCAGCACGGTCAGGACTTCGAGGGAGMATCCCTTCGAAAAGCCATGTACATGAACATGGACATGGACGTGGTAGAGAAGCATGCGTCATATAAGCACTGATCGCTTTCAAAATACTGCCGATATTGGACACACATCATCGTCTGATGAAAGCCGGACCTGTCAAGAGTAGTCAGTAAACGATCAAACACCATCCTCATCGCATACATACCACCAGGTCCTCCCCGCGCAGACCACGCCTTCCGAAGCACAAGGAGCAACAATAGTGATCCAACCGCGAGAGCGCCCGTCATGTACCAGAACCAATGCATATCCGAAAGGCTACCAGGATGAAGGCCATGAGGTACAGCGTGGATGTGATGATCTTCTTCTTCATCGCCTTCCATCTGCTTCCCGTCGGGATGTCCAACTGAGAGTGCTGGCTTTGGAATGGATTGGTCCACTGCTGCCCCAACATYGTCGTTGTCCTTTCCGGGAACCTGCTGGAAGCTTCGTTTCAAGATCTCCGGTCTGCGTGCATGAAGGTCGAGTATGCATTCTCCGAACAGGCCATTTGCCCACGCGAACCTAATTACACGTTAGTGCATGAAAGAATCTATGACGAGAATCGGGCATACCAAGATCGTGTCCAGTCCGAGGCATTATTCGATCTAACACTCTCATGAATCAGACCATAGCCATCCGTACTGCTCACCAGCTGCTGTAGTTGTTGAATGATCTCGGCGTCGTTGCTGGAAGTCAGAATGCGAACTATGGCAGCCATGGGCCATCTGAGAAGCGAAGACGCACAGGTCAGCATCTTAACGTGGGTTGAGGCCGATCGTAGCTCGAGAGGACACTTACGCCATCTCCATTCCATGGTGTGGGCCACCGACAGCACTGATGACCGGTCCATGCATCCAGTAAGGATTGTAGATGCTTAGCACCCGTTTGCGAGTTGCCTGATAGACAGGATCCTGAACATCTAGAAATCCGAAGAAAGGTGCTGACAGAAGCGAGGGCGAGTTCGAATCATCCATGACATTGCTCCCGCCGTAGCCATCGACCTCGAAAGCATAGACGTCCCCGTGCTGCTTTGTGTGGACGATGCCATGCCCTTTGACCGCTGCTTTCACACTAACGGACAAATCACTCATTCGCTTGGCAAGATCCGGAGCATTTCCAAGCTTGTCTACTATTCTTGCGCATAACCCAGCGAAGCGTGAGAATTGCATGTTCGCCGGGATGAATAATTGATAGAGCACAGGGTCGTCAGATGGCCGAAACAATGAACGGATAAGTCCCGTGCCAGCCGCCGTGGGATTGCCTTGATTGTGATTGATGAAGTCGTGATGGAACGTATAGGGCGAGGTTGCTTGTGTACCATCTTCATTGTATGTTGTATGATCCCGCATGCTCTCAGCAACTGAAAGGACAGATTCAACAGCTTTGGTCCAGCCAAATCTGCCAAAGAATTCCAGGTCGTGAGTCTTTTCAAAGTAGGTGTGTGAGAGTTGTAGGAAAGCTGCTACACTGTCCAGTTCCCATTTGCATTCAAAGACCACTTCGGTGCTGTACTGAGGTTCGATCTTCCAACCGCCGTACGCACCGTTGTTCCTGTGAGGCTGGCCCGATTCTGGCGGAGGCTGAAAGGCATTGCAATAGGGCGATATTTGCAAGTACCGCGCTTGTTGGTTGATAACGCCTCGGAAGAGAGATGCTAGAGAGTCTTTACTTGAGGAGGCTTCCAACAATGGCGCATACGATAGCAACTGATTGGCAGAGTCACGGAGCCACATTGCGGGAATGTCTCCAGTGATCACAAAAGCGAGTTCTTCGTCCGGATTCTCTTTGGAGGTCCCTTTCCAGCTCACAGTAGTGTCCAGGGTATTGGGATAGGCATTCGTAAAGAGCATTCTGAGGTCCGGATCTGTAATGTCTGTCGATATCTTCTTGATTGCTTTTTCGACCACGGAGCTGTTGAAATTCCTGCATCGAGGCTCAGGTCGCATGTTCGTGAGATTGTACAGGCCGTCGGTATATGGTGCATGTCGCTGAGTGCTCCATTTGCCATATTCAGGGCATGCATTCTCATCTATTGCGGGTTCGTCAAAGCCGATCTTCACCTGTCCTCTGGCAAACCCTGCAAGGAGCAAGAAGCACACAAACAGATTCGCCATCTTGCGAGATGTGACGGCGAACTCTCCTCTCCTTCGCCTGCTTCCTTGATAAGCAGGAAGCTGTCCATCGTGGCGTCCGGGATAGGCTCTGTGGTCTCCTGAGAATGCCGTTGCCAAGAAGAGGTGAGCGCCACGGTGGAACAAAGTTTGAGGTCTCCATGTTTTGAACCATCACGTGACTGGGGAAATCCTTGCGCTGATCACGATCCGACATGCATCAAAACCCCGTGCCATCYCCACACATCGCGACGGCGGGGAACATCGTTAGGAAAGTGCACGGCCAAGTATACATCTCTTCGCTTCGCCAACTCGGTTGGCTGCCGATAGTGGTGTACTGTGCTCACCGTGTGGAAGGCAAATTTCTCTCAACAGGAAACAGGATGTAACTTTCCAAGATTTTACCCAACTGTGTTCCCGCATATTAGCAGAGACATCGAACGATTCTGGCTCATTGACCTGTAGTCCCAAGCAAGTGTTGCTCGTCCATACTGCACAATCTGGGCTTGTCATCTTCAGCAGTGGCCAGATCTTTTAGCGACATTCACATAACAAGTACCAGCACGCATGTCAGACGGGGAAGCCGGAGACAAGTGGCACGGATGCGATGTCTTTCAGTACAGCCAGAAGGCTTCCTACTGAGTGTTGTGCGGGATGTCACAGCTTACATGCTATGTGAGCCTATTATCCGAACATGCCAATCACACAGTCACCGTGCCCCAGCAGCTATCACTTGACAACACCATTAAATATGGCCCGAGTTTGTGCCATCACGGCATGCCGGTTTCGAAGGTCCAGCAGTACTCAAGCTCGCACGTACCGACAATTGAAACCATGATTCTACCAAACCGTTTGGCCTCACCCACGCTGCAAGATATCGAGTAGCTTTTCCGTCTTTTTCAATTGGCGTTCGCATTCATGATCGCTACGTTAAATTCCTCAACTCAAATTGCAGTTCTCTACAAAAGAGCAGCCCCAAAAACCATGCTCAAAAGAACCAAACCACCGCAAACAAGAGGCGCAAAGTCCATGCGCCCCATCTGCACAGAATTCGCAGCCGCCTTCGACGTCTTACTCCCTCCCGTCGGAGAAGCAGTGACAGATCCAGCATTCGGATCCGCAGTAGATGTGCTCTCGCCTCCTGCGTTTTGCGAACCATCGCCCGTGAGACCCGGACCACTGCCAGCACCATTCTTCAGGTAGGTCTCTGCTCCGCTAGGCATAGCGGGCAAAGCGCTTCCGATGAAAGGGCTGGTATCCCAGTTCGTGCCTTGATCAGGGCAGTTTTGGGTTGTGCTAGAGGTTGTGTAGCCTCCATCACCACTTGGGCTGGTAGCGCTCGCTAAAGCTTTTTGAAGGTAGGAGAATTGGTCCCCTTCGGGAGACACGGTTGACCCGGAGAGTGTAACGATGCCGAAGCCGTTACCTTCTAGCGAATATTCGTAGACAAGACCACCAGAGAAGACTTTTGTCATTTCAGGTTGGTAAAGCTCGGCCGTCTCTTCGAATGTGCGGGTGTTTTTGATGCAGCCGTACTCGGACATGCTAGAAATTATCAGCAGAGGAAGGACTCGGTGCTTTCTCTCACGACTTACAAAAGAGGCAGGCTATAGTTGGAGTACTGCGCGACCAAATTGCTCCACCCAGATGTGGTGTATGAGGATGGATCGCACCATTCGTAGTTGTTGATGGCGTAGAAATCTGAAAGAGTTTGTGTCTCGCCGCAGTCCATGTATTGAGCCATCAGATATTGGTTCTCAGTTACATCCGCTGCACTATAGCCAACTGGGATCGAGCGATAGCCACGCTCACCGACGTATTGCTTCATGTCTGAATCGTTGTTAGTGAATGTTCCCATCGAGTCACGCGCTGATCAACTCACCTCGAGTTACGGCTTTCACATACGGTGCCGCGGACGTAGTGTCCGGAGCGTTGAGAACTTCATTCCCGCTGAAAAAGAGTAAAGTATTGCTATACCCTGCAAATGCATCGATCGTTGCAAAGATCGATTGGAGGTAGGTGGGATTATACGACGGACCAGGCGAAGCTCGATTTAGTGAGTATTTGGGAGTGTTGACATCCAGCGCTAGATAGATTCCCGCATCGGCGAGAGCACTCATACACTGATCGTGATTCGCACTGTTGTCAACAGTGTACACACGAATGGTGTTGAGTCCCAACTGCTTGAAATATGGAATGTCGCGTGAACATATGCTGTAGTCGGCGAGAGGATCGGTTATATCGGAAGAACCTCCCGGCTGATAATCGATTCCTCGAATGTAGAAGCGACTGTCTCCAGCGAAAAATGCATTGCCTTTCGTTGTTATGGTTGGAAGCGTAGAGCCAGTTCCAGACGATCCTTCGCTCGAGCTTTTCGTTGCGCGTGCTTCGACATTGGCGGGATTCGCAGCGGCGAGGGAGACGGCGCACGAGACGAGTGCAAGAATGGACATTGTCTGCATTATTCACCAAATGTTCGATTTTGATTGCAGGCGTCTGAGATGAGGAGTGAAATCGAGACGACGTGATGTCAGAAAACGACAGTGGAAATGGTAGTGACAAGCCCAAAACGAGAGAACGTGGAAGTTGCCAGACCCAGCAAGATAGTTGTACGATCTAAGGTAGTAAACAAGCTACCATCACATCAGTTTAAGCATGTCGGCGAGGGTGACGCGGCTCGGCGTTGGAGGACGCGGCCAGGCCATTCGCGTGCAGTGCGTCCCAGCCACGAGCGGGAAGAGCGGATAAGTGTAGAACCATAAGCTATGTCGGTGAAAAAGTCACTCACTCGTCTTCGCCACTGGCGCCTCTCTGTTGATGTGCTAGAGCACTTCGGAATGGCATTGCGGCCGCGGAGAAACCAGTAGCTCCAATGCAGGCCAAGAACAATCCACGCCATCGTCAACTCTCAGACCGATACGGATGGCAAGTTGTCTTGGCGGCCTGTGACCAGCAGCGAACCTCCATTATTGAGAATGCATCCGAAAACATGTGAGTTTGATGATGGAGGTGCAAGGTGGCGGATGTGGAGGCGAACTTGCTGTTGTGCATATGTGGGTCCACTAAGCTGATATAAAGCACATAGTAAAAGTAACTAATTAACATATATGTAAAAACTCTGCATCTAAGATGCGGCTATATCGACAGAGCCTTAGTTATCTATAGGTTACGTGCTAGATCTATAACACTCCCCCTTCTAGCTAGAAAGTAAAGCCTTAGATAATCTATTAGATGCTATAATAGGCTCTAATAATTACTCTATTAGAGCATATATCTATATATATGCTATATATGCTACATATGCTGCATATAGCTAAACTTTACCCTTATACCTTACTACTATATATATGCATAGTTAACTTAATAAGCATAAAACTTAGTTACTACTCTAGAGCAAACTATTATCTAAATATCTACTTCCTTCCCTAATTACTACCCTTTAGAGACATATCTTGTACTATAACTACTCCTTTAATATAGCTATTAGCTATAGTATTTATTATGTCTTTTACACTAATTAATGCTAGTTCTATTAGTTATATAGCTATAGGTACTAGTGCTAGTAGTAATAATAGCGGTAGCGAGAAGCGACCTAATCGTCGTTTAGCTCCCTCTAGTTATAAGGGTTAAGGAACCTCTAAGCGTAAGCGCCTTCTAAAGTCGATTCGTAGTAGATTCTAGGATCTTATTATTAGCTAGTTCGGCATTAGTGCTAAGGGACAAATTAATGTTCGACTATTGGTATTTACCCTCTTATAGGTTCGTAAGCTTCTAAGTGCGTATAAGAAAGGCTACAATAGTAGTCTCTTAGGATCTGCTATGTTTAGAGAAATACTTAAGAATCTACCTACTATATAGTAGATAAATCGATTAGTTATAGGTAGAAATTATAAGCTTGTCTATAAGCTACGATTAGCTACTCCTACTACTCTAGGTTCTTCTAGTAAAGAGCTAATACTTAATATTACTAGKGGCAATAACTACCTCCTAACTATCGCTGCCTCTAGAACTATAGGAGTTAAGATCTATATAAATGCCTATAATAGGTGCCGGCTATATATTAACTAGTATTTTACTAATTATATAACTATAGAAGGGCTCTTCCTTAGTACTTGCCTAGAGTATGCTAGTAATAATTACTATAAGCGCTGCAGCTTTAGTAGCTATCGCTCGACTTATAGGAACACTACTACTCGTACAGAATTTAATGCCTAAATTAAGGCTAGTTTAGCTACGAATAGGGAGAATGTCCTTCCTATAGATAAGGGAGCTATAGCTTATAGAGATCGCCTACTACTACTAATATACGATACTTATAGTCGCCTACTTTTTAACCCTTTGCTATTTACGACTCCTAGAGCTACTAATAGCCTTACGGGCAATATATATTCTTATAACAATCGCTAGCCGATTAATTTCTTAAGATCCCTCCCTACCGTAGGTATTAGTAGCCGCTATAGGCTCGTAGCTATTAACTTTAACTATCTAGCTGTAGCTAGACGTAATTAGTAGCGCTAGTACATTATTACTGCTATTAGGAATATATTAGAGAACTTTAGTATAATATAGGATAGTGCTGTTTAATTTAATCCTAGTAACTACCGTAGCAGGTCTAAGGAGGAAGCTCCTAATAATAATTAGGACACTAAGATAAACTGATTTTTATCTCTAGGCTAGAGTTCCTTATAGGGTATACAGCTAGGGATAGTGCCTTATTAGAAACTATAAGTAGAATAGAGCTTTTAACTAGGGTATATAGCTATTAATAGTGCCTTATAGTAATTTTATAGTAGAGTTAAGCCTAAGAGTAGCTAGGTTAAGGATTCTCTAGTTCCTATAATAATAAATAAAAAGTTATAATAAAATAAGTGTGTTTTAACAAAAGAAATCTTCCCCTAAACTATCTATGTATTATATAATAGTATTAGGTAACTTTAGCTTAGTTAGGGCATCTGTAAGCTACTTAGTAGTATTAATGTATTCTACCCTAATGTTCCTAGTATTATATTGCTCCCTATAGTAGTAATTTCTTATAGAGATATAGCGAGATCTCCTAGAGTTTAAGTGATTCTTAACTAAACTAATAGCTAACTAGTTATCGACTTTAATTAGGACTGTTTTAATGCTTTGCTAGGTAATTAGCTTAATCTTATTAAGCAGTTCCCTAAGCTAGCTAATTTCCCTAGTAGTTTCTGTTAGGGCTAGGTATTTAGCCTTAGTGCTAGATAGGACAATATCCTTTTATAGCTAGGATCTCCAGATTACTAGCCTACTATAGAGTTTAATAAGCGATCCTAAGGTAGATCTCCTAGTTATAATATCTCTAGCATAGTCTAAGTTAGAGTAAGCTTCTATAGTAAGGCTAGGTAACTTTCTAAATATAATCCCTTTGCTAATTATATAGGAGATGTATTTCTAGATATGCTTTGTAGTAGTAATATACTTATTAGAGGGGTTCTATAGGAATCTTACTAGGTAGTTTACTATATAGGTAATATCTAGCTTAGTATAGTTAGACAGATGTTATTATTCCCTAATAATCTTATTATATAGATTATATTGTTGCTAGGTGCATTTACCCTCGCTAGGGTTTAGTAATCTTTCTAGTAGGAACTTTATAGGCTTAACATTTAATAGACTATAGGCCTTAAGTTTGTCTCTGCTATAGTGTTCCTAGGAGATTGTAGTTTTACTAGTCTTAGATTGCTTAATATAGAGCCTAAGGAAAAGGTTAGTCTTAACTACCTTAATGTTATGTTTCTTCCTAAGACTATTAATTACCTAGTTAATATCGTTCTGTAACTAAGCAAGAATCTAGAAGTTATTAACATATATAAGAACTAGTGCGCTATAGCCTATAAAAAGGTATGTATTAGAATAGGTTCTTTTAAGCCTTATATCCTAAAGCGTTATAACTACGTTATAGTACTAGAGAGCTGCTGCCTACTTTAGGCTATATAGTCCCTTTCTAATACGGATTATATATTTCTTTAGGTCCTTAATGCCTATACCTAGATGTTTAACTCCCTCTAGAGGATATATCTATATTTCCTTATTAATATTAGGGTTTAGAAAAGCTGTTTTAATATTAATCTAGCTCCGCTTCTACCTATACTAGGTTGCTAGTACTAGGAGGATTCTCCCTATAACAGCCCTTAGGGTTAGAGCAAAGGTTTAGATATAGTTAATACCTATCTTCTAGGAGTAACCTTTAGCTGTCTATCTAGCCTTATATACCTCTATAGTACTATTAGTAAGCTTCTTAAGCTTAAACACTTATTTAGCTTTTAGGGGAACTCGTCCCCTAGGGAGGTGTTTAATTAGTTCCTATTCTACTACGCTAGTAGACTATAGGGACTTTACCTCCTTAGTTATAGCCTTCCTCTAGTAACTACTAGCTAGAGCCTCTACTACTAACTAGAGTTCTACTAAGGGCTTCCTAGAGGCTATAATAGCTCCTCTAGCATTTATTCTTTTATAGTTATGCCTAACTATAGATCTTCCTACTCTCGTCTAGGTAAGTACTAGGGGAGAGAGATCTCTTTTCCTTTTGCTAGTAGTCTGCTATAGTATAAATAGCTCTATAAGAATATCTATATCTTCTAGGCTTTGCTCCCCCTAAGCTATAGGGCTAGGGGAGACTTAGGATTGCTCCCTCTAAGCTATAGGGTTAGGCTAGGAGAATGTTTCTCTATTAGTCTCTACTATAGGGGCCTTTATAGGTAGCTGCTAAGATATAGTCCTTTACTACTAGGAGGTAGATAGGGATGCTACCTAGGCTTCTAGCTACTAGGCTAGGATAACTTCCTAAGCTTCTAGCTTAGGGATAGGTTTTATATAGGTCTCTAGCCTTATAGACTAAGCCTCTTATAACTTAGAGATTAGGATTAGCTAGGCCTTATACCTAAAGCCTTCCTAGGCTTCTTGCTTAGGAGATAAGTATAGTTAGGCTTCTAGCCTATTACTACTAGGGGGAATTAGGAAGACTATAGGATTTAATACCTATAGCTCCCCCTAAATTTTAGGGTTATACTAATTCCTATTAATAAGGTCCTAATAAACAAAGTCCTTATTAAATGTTATATAGGGTATAAATATAACCTAGTATCTCTAGCCTCCTATATAGTTTAGTATTAGTCGCTTATTACGGATTAATTTGTAGAGAACTAATAGCTATTTATTTAGCGAGAGAGCAGGAAAAGCTCTAGGAATAAGAGTACTCTATTACGTAACGAAGACAAGCCTTAGTGCTATCTTCGGAGATTAAGAGATTACGCAGAGTAAGAGCGATTAGACTAATTAGTGTAATTAGACTGCTCGGCTTAGCACAGGCTTAGAGATAGGTATATAGAGAGCAGTAGTTAGTAGTAGATAGGAGCCTCGTGCTTAACTTAATTTATTGTATTTATATATACTATTAAAACCTTTACCTTTACTTCGAGAGAACAGATAGTACCTTAGA